GTTAAAGTTAAGTTAAACATATGTTAAAGATAAAGCATAGTTATTGCTAAAATTATGTTAACATTAAGTTAAAGTTATGTTGAAGTTAAAGTTAAGTTAAAATTATATTAAAGGTTAGATCAAGTTATGTTAAATTTAATTTGAAGTAAAGTTAAAGTCAAGTTAAAGTAAAGTTAATGTTATTTGAATGCTAAAGTTAGGTGAATCTTAAATAAATGTTATGTCGCCGATACCCCTCGACGCGGCGAATTGTGGGTGAACCAACTGACCGAACCCTCGCGAGCGAAACGCCAGTGCCGGGCGAAGCGAATGACAGATTGAATGTAAAGAAACGCATATAGTTGTAGACCCATATAAAGCGCTATTGAAGTTTGTTTTGGTTTCTTCGTGAGGAAAAATAAAGAAGTGAATTCTAGTGAGGTGAAATAGCTTGTAAGTTTAGCGATTAATTATTGAAGAATTGTGATTTAAAACGTTTATTGTAATTACAGTTCGATTCGTATTTATAATTTCGTGGTTTTCCACGTAGTAAGTGGATCATTCATTAGAATTGAAGTATGTTGTTCCTAAAATTAGAATAATAGTACTTCTTGCTTGTCGCCTAACCTAAAATGGACCTAAATACCTACCGTTGGTTATCGATCGTGTTGGAATTGTCCATCCGTGGTAGACGGTGACCTGGCAAAAGAAGAAGAACACTGAAAATGTAAGATTATTGTATTATACTTACCTTTGTATCATCACTAATGTTAACAATTAAATTACAGCTTTGAAGCTGCTAAGTTTGCAACTAAAAAGACGGTGTTTGTTCTGACTATCGAGAACATCCTTCAAAGATTTTCATCCAGAGCTGGATGATTGCTTGCTGCCCATCGGGAAGGACATTTCACAGCAGCGAGACAGCGAGACGACCCACCGTTGAAGACGACCAACAACAAGAACAACGACAATTCGCACCGATTGCGGACCGACATCGAAACTGCAGCATAATCAAGTCAGTGCCCTTTTTGATTCTGTCACCTTCGTCGGTTGTGAGTATCGTCGTTAGCATTAGTTAGTTGTCAAGCTTCACTAGAGACGGTTGTCATGTTAATTTAGGTCGATCTCGAAATGCCGGACGCAAACAGTGTGACTTCGGTTAGCAATGAAAAGCATTGCAAAAAGTGCAATCGTGCGGATACCGATGATGATATGGTGTGTTGCGATGTGTGCGAATCGTGGATACACTTTCAGTGCGCGGGTGTCAGCGAGTCTATTGCGCAGCCGGAAAGAAGTTTCAAGTGCAACAATTGCCTGACAGACTGGGAGGGTGGTGCATCGAAGTCGGGTGTATCATTCAACGAGTCGTCCGTCAGTAAGAGCAGTCGAGTTTCGCAGAGATTGCAGCTCAGCCTTCAACTCCTTGAGGAGGAACGGAAGCTGAGGAAGAAACGTGCGGAAGAAGAAAAGAGGATCCGTAAACTGGAAGAAGAGGCCAAGCTGAAGGAAATCGACGAAGAACAGGAGTACTTGAGGCAGGAATACGAGTTGATGATGCAGATTGGAGAAGAGAAGGATTCTTCAAGTAGGAGAAGCGGAGTCAGTGTGAAAAGTAGGCGCGAACAGCTGGAAAAATGGCTTAAAAAGGGAGCCCAACTGGATGGAGTTGGACAGTCGAATCCAACAACGTCTGGACAGAAAGCTACCCTGTCAGTCCCAGCTGTTAGCAAGGAAAATCCCGGGATCGTGGTACCATTACCAATGCATTCAACTTCAAGCAGCCTTGTTTCGTTGAATCTTGGAGTACTTTATCCGGATCCGACCATTCCTGTTCCCAGCGGGAACGTTACCGCTCTGGCGAAGTCTTACGAGTCGAATGTCGTACCGAATGTCGTACCTGTTCCATTAACGACGGTCGTGACAGCTGGTGGAAGTTTCGTCACTTTGGTGGCCGCGGCACCGGCGTTTACTTCGTCGATAGTATCGACTGTACCGATGATTCCGAAAGCGACTCGGTCTGGCGTTCCACTCGTCTGTGACGGCTTCGCACCGGTCTATTCGTGCCCGGAAATGAAAGGCATGCTTTCGAGTGCAGCCGGGGTTTTCCGTCGATACCGTATAGTTCGAGTGGCCTCATTAGAAATCCACAACATTATCTGGGTGCTGCCACAGTCGCATCGTTGCCACAGTTGCCGATTTCGACTTCGTATCAACCAGTACCTCTCGTTTCCGGGAATCCGCCTGTTTCGTCAACGGTTGGTTCGTTCCAGTATCCTCCTGTTTCCAATGGAGCAATACCCATAAATCCTCCGTTGTTACAAACTACAACCACCACAAGTCTGGGACCGGGGATTCCAAACTATTCGAACGTTTACTTCGGATACTCAGTGCCGTTTCCGTACCCACCATCAAGTTGTCCATATCCCGTCATAGGACCGGAAATACCGCCCTCGGTAATACCAACATCGTTGTGCTACGGGAATATCAACCCTCCGCCAGTCAGTTTGGGACCGACCAGTGCCCAATTGGCAGCTCGGCAAGTAATGCCACGCGAGTTGCCGAAGTTCAGCGGGGATCCCCAGGAATGGCCTATGTTCTACAGTTCCTTCAAAAACACGACGGAGGTCTGCGGGTACACGGACGCCGAGAGTCTGGCCAGATTGCAACGTAGCTTGGGAGGTTCCGCACTTGAGGCAGTTAGAAGTCGTCTACTCCTGCCAGCATCCGTCCCGTACGTGATAGAAACGTTGCATAAGTTATACGGAAGGCCAGAGATCCTGATTAATTCTCTTCTGAAGAAGGTGAGAAACGTTCCGCCGCCGAAGTATGATAACTTGAACACCATCGTCGAGTACGGGTTGGTGATTCAAAATCTCGTCGATCATATCATCCTGGCTGATCAGCAAGGACATTTATCAAATCCAATGCTGCTACAAGAGTTGGTCGACAAATTACCCACCTCGCTGAAGGTGCAGTGGGGTACGTTCAAACAATCGTCAGCGAACGTCAACCTAGCGACATTCAACAGCTTCATGTCGGGACTAGTGAACCTTGCTGCCGAGCTAAACATCGACGTGGAATCCGCCCAAAACTACCACAAACACCAAAAAGTGGAAAAGTCGAAGCAAAAGGAAAAGCTTTTCACTCATGCGAACGTGTCGCCAAGCGTATCGAATAAGGAGAGTGCAAGCGGCGAATGTACGTCAAAAGCGTGTTCGTATTGTGAGAAAGATGGTCATCAGATCCTGAACTGTTCCAGTTTCAAAGAGTTGGACATCGGAGGCCGATGGAAGGCAATGCGGCAGAAGAACTTGTGCCGATTGTGCTTGATACCGCATCGTAAATGGCCGTGTCACTCGAAAAAGGAATGCGGAGTGGATAGTTGCCGAGTTCGACATCATATGCTGCTGCACAGTAGCCGCAATGATACTACTGATGGTCCAAGGTCTGGCGAGACTGTTCGTCAAAATCATCACCACACGAAATCCTTTTCGCTGCTCCGCTATTTGCCAGTTACGCTGTACGGAGAGGGGAAACAAGTTGAAACTTTCGTGTTCCTGGATGACGGATCATCATCGACGCTACTCGAGGAGGAAATCGCTGCACAGTTGGGCATAGAGGGTGAACCCGATAACTTGTGGCTGAGTTGGACCGGCAAGATCAGTAGACAGGAGAAGACTTCCAAGAGAATAAGCGTGAAGATATCTGGAGCTCGGAAGAAGGAAACATTCCAACTGGGCAACGTGCGAACGGTGCGCGAGCTAGGGCTTCCAAGTCAAACGTTGGACTATTTAGAGCTTCCCGTGGCTAGCTATGTCAACGGCTTAGGCCTGGCATGATCATGGGGCTGGAACACGTACGGTTGCTCACTAGCTTGAAGACTCGTGAAGGCAGCAGCAGCGAGCCAGTTGCAACCAAAACTCGTCTAGGTTGGTGCGTATACGGGAGGAATTCTGGAACTGAAGGATCAGTTGAGCAGCTGCAAATTAGAGTGATGCAAAATTTGAAATTTTCGCTCCACAATACTTAAACGATTCCAAATCGAATCCTGACTAACCTCTCAAAATTTGAACCTATTTGGTGAGAAGCTAAAATGGCACAAACCATTTGAAGTTTGTATGGAAATTACTATGGCGAAAACCAAGATTTTTGTTCATGTCTATCTAATAATTCACCATATCGGTCTGCTTCAAAAGCTTTCAACTTTACTTGTAGGAAATTTTCCCAGCTACAACTTTGCTGAAGACTTTTTGATTAAATGCAAGGATCAAAAGTTATTAATGGTTCAATGCACTGATGTCTTGTGATCATGCTCAATTAACTGCTCAGCAGGCAACATTGGTGTTTCTGGGGCGTTGAATAGGACACAAAAATTATGGCTACTATGTCACACTGCAAAATACAGTGTTGCCTACAGAGCAGCTGCTTGATCATGTCATAAGTTTACAAATCTCTTAAATAATTAATAACTATTTCCTGTCTCGTTTTACATAGAAATGATCTTCAGCAAAGTTGTAGCTGAGAAAATTTTCTATAAGAACAACTATCGAGCTGTTTTGCACTCAATATGGAAAAAGACTAGAAGGCAATGAACAAAAAGTTGAGATTTCCCATAGTTTTTTTTTTTTAGTTCTTTATTAAGGAGATTTTTAGCCTATGGCTAGTTCATCTCCGAATTTCCCATAGTAATTTACATGTAAACTTCAAATGGTTTGTGCGGTCTGTTTCTAACAAATGAGTTGTAACTTTTGGAGGCTAATCACGACCCGATTGGAAACCATTTAAGCACTGTGGAGCGAAAAAGTCAAATTTTGCATCAGTCTACTGCACATCCATGCCTGTGAAGACATTAGCAACCGCGAATTACACGATTCGATGCGAAAGTTCTTCGCAGTAGAAGATGCCGTTTTGGTGCAGCAGCTCGAATCCGAGGAGGACAAACGAGCACGCAGCATTCTGGAAGCGACAACGGTACGGAGAGGAACTCGTATGGAGGCGATTTGCTTTGGAGAAAGGACAACATGAACTTTCCGGGCAGCTACCAAATGGCGATCAGTAGGTTGAGAGGACTGGAAAAACGGTTGGCAAAGGATCCGGAGTTGCGTAGAAAGGTGAACGAGCAAGTCGAGAGTTACGAGCAGAAGCAGTACGTTCGCAAGGTAACAGTGGAAGAGGTTGCGAATGCGAACCCTCAGCGTGTGTGGTACCTTCCGTTAGGGGTGGTGACCAATCCTAAGAAACCCAACAAAATTCGAATGGTGTGGGATGCCACCGCGAAGGCTGGTGGAGTTTCATTCAACGACATGCTTCTCAAGGGGCCGGACCCTCTTGTATCGCTCGTAGATGTTTTGCTACGATTCAGGGAAGGCAAAATCGCAGTTTGCTCCGATATCCGCGAAATGTTCTTGAGAATCCTCATTCGAGAGGTGGATAAGTGGTCACAGTGCTTCCTATGGCGTAGCAGTCCGGAAGATGAAGTGCAGGTCTATGTGATCAACATCGCTATGTTCGGAGCAACCAGCTCACCATGCACAGCACAGTTCGTTAAGAATAAAAACGCTCTTGACTACGCGGAGCTGTATCCCAGAGCAACAAACGCAATCATTAACAACCATTACGTAGATGACTTCCTCGACAGTGTCAACTCGGTGGAGGAAGCAGTTCAGCTTGTCAACCAAGTACAGCTTATTCACGCAGCAGCAGGTTTCGAATTTGGTAAATCCTGTCCAACTCGCAGGAGGAGCTCAATCGTCTAGGGGAGACTGGATCGACAGCCAGCAAGTCGCTGAGCCTCGACAAGAATGAAATTTACGAACGCGTCTTGGGTGTCGTGTGGGTACCTTCAGCGGATCATTTCACCTTCGATCAGACAGGGCTCAAGGAAGTCTTGGGTAGTAACGGAGCGATTCCAACGAAGAGGCAAGTACTGCGGACCGTGATGAAACTGTATGATCCTTTGGGATTCGTGGCGCACTTCGTTGTGCAGGGAAAAATCCTGATGCAAGAGATTTGGAGAACGGGTACTGACTGGGATGAGCCCATAGCAGAACAACTGTACGAACTATGGAGTAGATGGATCGAACTGTATGAGATGATCGACGAGGTGAAAGTTCCGCGCTGCTTTTTCGGAAATCTTCTGTCACAGGAGGTGGACGAAATCGAGGTCCACGAGTTCACGGATGCAAGCGTAGCGGCATGTGCGTGTGTCGCTTACCTGAGAATGATGTTCAGCGGAGGTAGCTGGTGTTCGTTGGTAGCAGCAAAAACAAAAGTTACGCCACTTCGGACGCTCTCAATTCCACGCTTGGAGCTTTGGGCTGCCATGATGGGATCCCGCTTATTGCAAAACGTGTGTTCGGCGCTAACCCTCAACATTCGAAAACGGTACCTTTGGACGGATTCAGCGACAGTTTTGGCGTGGCTGCGCTCGTTTCTACGAGATCCAAAAGGGCAGTGGCCTAAGCAATCAGCAGAAGTGAGCGAAGCAGATGCGGCAAGCGAAGAACTTCGAATGGTAGCGGTACACCAAACGACGGTGGAGATAGTTGATGCTGAACGTTTTTCAAGCTGGAATCGTTTAGGCCTACATTCACAGGGCGCTACGGTTCTGGAAGCGCACGCTGAGTGATGCACAATGGCGACAAGGTCTACACCAAGAGGATTTCGAGAAGGCGGAGGAGACACTTTGGCGACAGGCCCAAGCGCAGGCGTATTCGGAGGAGCTTCACGAGCTGAGTAAGGGTCGCAGCGTTCGGAAACAAAGCTCACTGCAATCGTTGGTTCCATTCATCGATGATCACGGAGTCATTCGGGTAGGAGGTCGGATTGGAAACGCACCGCACATTGCATACACGGCAAAGTATCCCGTAATATTGCCAAGGGATCATCGTATCACCTTCCTTCTGATGGATTCTTTCCACCGGCGGTTCCTTCACGCCAACGGAGAAACAGTCTTAAATGAACTACGGCAAGGGTTCTACATACCGAAGCTTCGGACTCTCGTACGTAAAGTCAGCAGAGATTGTCAACACTGCAAAGTGCTGAAAGCTGCTCCGGTGCCACCGCTGATGGGACCACTGCCAAAAGTACGGTTGACACCATTCGTTCGGCCGTTTACTTACGTCGGCGTCGATTACATGGGACCTTTCGAAGTCAAAGTCGGACGCAGCGTGGTGAAGAGGTGGATTTGCCTGTTCACCTGTCTCACAGTGAGGGTGGTTCACCTGGAGCTGGCACACAGCCTTTCAACGACTTCCTGCGTGATGGCCTTCAGGAGATTCGTGGCCCGGCGGGGCGCACCGTTGGAAGTCTTTTCCGATAACGGCACGAACTTTGTAGGAGCGAATCGCCAGTTGTCTGAAGAGAAGCAGAAGATCCAGGACATCGTCGAAGACTGCGCTGCCACATTCGCCAACGCGAAAACCCAGTGGCATTTCAACGTTCCAGCGGCTCCGCACATGGGAGGACCATGGGAGCGTATGGTCAAGTCCGTAAAGGTAGCGATGAAGGCAGTATGGGATAGTCCGCGTCATCCAAGCGATGAGGTGTTGGAAACGATCATGTTGGAGGCTGAAGCGATCGTCAACTCGCGACCGCTGACCTACGTTCCCTTGGAGGCAGCAGACGAAGAGGCACTCACACCAAACCACTTTCTGCTGTATGGGTCAACCGGTATCAAGCAACCAGCAACCGAACCTGTGAACGGTAACATCCTTTGAGACAGCTGGAAGCTTGTTCAGCACATCGTGGACGAATTCTGGTGCAGATGGGTACGAGAATATCTCCCGATGCTAACGAGGCGTACGAAATGATTCGATGCAGTGAAGCCGCTGGAACTTGGTGATCTAGTTGTGATAGTCGACGAAAATTCGAAGAATCATTGGGAGCGAGGACGTATTTGTGAGGCCTTTCCGGACAAATCTGGGCAGGTGAAGCGTGCTACGGTACAGATAGCTAGAGGAGTGTTCACTAGACCTGCGGTGAAGCTGGCGGTTCTGGACTTGGCGAGCAACGACAGGAGTACGGAAGCAGTCGCTTCAGAAACGGAAGTGGTTCGCGGGTTGGGGGATGTCGCTGATACCCCTCGACGCTGCGAATTGTGGGTGAACCAACTGACCGAACCCTCGCGAGCGAAACGCCAGTGCCGGGCGAAGCGAATGACAGATTGAATGTAAAGAAACGCATATAGTTGTAGACCCATATGAAGCGCTATTGAAGTTTGTTTTGGTTTCTTTGTGAGGAAAAATAAAGAAGTGAATTCTTGTGAGGTGAAATAGCTTGTAAGTTTAGCGATTAATAATTGAAGAGTTGTGATTTAAAACGTTTATTGTAATTACAGTTCGATTCATATTTATAATTTCGTGGTTTTCCACATAGTAAGTGGATCATTCATTAGAATTGAGGTATGTTGTTCCTAAAATTAGAATAATAGTACTTACTTTGCTTGTCGCCTAACCTAAAATGGACCTACCGTTGGTTATCGATCGTGTCGAAATTGTCCATCCGTGGTAGACGGTGACCTGGCAAAAGAAGAAGAACACTGAAAATGTAAGATTATTGTATTATACTTACCTTTGTATCATCACTAATGTTAACAATTAAATTACAGCTTTGAAGCTGCTAAGTTTGCAACTAAAAAGACGGTGATTGTTCTGACTATCGAGAACATGTTATGTTAAAGGTAAGTTAAAGTTACGTTAAAGGTAAGATAATGTTATGTCAAAGTTAATTTAAAGTTATCTTAAAGTTAAGTTAAAGTTTGGTTAAAGTTACGTTAAAGTTATGTGAAAGGGAAGCTTGAAGGGAAGTTAAAATTATTTTAACGTTAAGTTAAACCTAAAGTTATTTTATATTTAAGTTAAAGATAGTTTTGATAAAATTTAGTTGAATTAATATTTTGTTCAAGTTAAGTTAAAGGTAAGTTAAAGTCATATTAAAGATATGTTAAATTTAAAGTTACTTCAAAGTTTAGTTAAATATATTTTAAAGTTTAAGTTATATTAAAGATACACACTTCCCTGAATCTACACTGATAAAACAGCAAAGATTTTATTTATATGATTTCACACATAAATTTTAAAACCGACACATGAACGTCATTGTAGAATCACGCCGGCCTTGAAATCACTCCTATTTGCACTTAAAAAAACACTCCTGCTACTAAGAGGTCTAGCTACCGCTTTCCATAAAGGTTCGATCACGACTGCCCCCGAGCATCAAGAGCTCCCGTCTCCTTTCTACCGTCGTTCGTCAGGGTTGAAGTCAAGTCATCAACTAAAACTATAATTTCTTAGGGGTGAATCATAAACGTAAATGAAATAGTGATTTATTTAATTTCCCAACTCTACATCCCTTTTCTGCTGTGAGAAAAGAAGAAGAAAAAGAAGAAAAAAATTCAGAATCTTGGTCCTACCGCGTTGACCATTTATTCGTTGTATCTTGCCGGCAACTTCTTCATTCGCTTCGGGCGCTGTTGAGGGGAGCTTCCTTCCAGATCGGAGTTCTGTGCTTCCGCTTCTCTTTCTGATGCCAGCTCAACTTCTCGGGATATTGATGGTTTCGCCGTTTTTAGGAATGAATCCTTCGAATGATCCGGAGTTTCGGGCAGTCCACCTGCATTTCGTGAAGATGGCCACTTCTTTAAATGGGAAACAGAACGGCGATACGTTACTCCTTCTTCATTTTTGACGATGACATCACTTCCAGTTTTCTTAACCACCACGAACTTTTCAAGCTTGAAATTTGGTTCCAATTTGCCTGTCTCGTAATTTTTGAGCATTACTTCATCACCCACATCAATTTCCGATTCCTTTGCCTTCCTTCGGTTGTCAGCGTAGATCTTGCCTTGCATTTTCTTGATTGCATCACGGTCCCGTGTTTCTTCATCCCGGCACCAATACGGCTCAGTACGCATCGACGGCAACAGATCCTTTACTGGTCTCCCAGTCAATAGTTCTAACGGTGGCTTACCGGTCACCGTATGCGGAGTAGTATTATACATGTACTCGTAGTCTCTGACCGCTTTTCGCCAATCTATCTTCGTTGCCTTGGCTATTCGTAAAGCCCTCAATACGCCTTGGTTGTGCCTTTCCACCAAACCATTCATCTGCGGCCAGTAAGGAATGGTTCGGATAAGCCGTATGTTTTTTGAGATGCAGTAGCTCAGAAATTCCTCGGATGAAAACGGAGGTCCGTTATCACTTCTGATTGTTTCGGGGTACGTTTGCTCCACAAATACGCCTTCAAGAGACTCAATAGTTTTCGCTGCTGTAGTGCCTTTCATTTCAATAACCTTCGTAAAGCGACTATAGTAGTCGATGATTACCAGAAATGTTGCGCACTCTTAAGCACAAAAGAAGTCGATTGCAATCTCCTGCCAAGCCCGCTCTGGCATTTCCTTCCGCATCATAGGTTCAGGAACTCCATGTCCACTCACCGCTGCGCAACCTGCACACTGCTGTATATAATCACCAACATCGCGATCCATACATGGCCACCATACCTTCTCACGTAAGTTTCGCCGCATCGCAACTATACCAGGATGACCTCTATGAGCAATCCGTAATGTTCTCTGTCGCAGTTTTAGCGGAAGCACAATTCGATCCTCTCTAACTACGATGTCTTCGATCACTCCCAGCTCTTTTGAGAATGCCTGATACCGATATAAGTCCTGTGGCCATTGCTGAGTATGAATAGCCTTGATAACCACCGTCATGGTTTCATCACTTGCCGTTTCGGATTTTATTTCCTTTAATGTAATGGCGGTTGGCCCTTCCCCTACCGCGCAGAGATAATGTTCTGTAGTTTCATCGAATGGCTCTTCTGATGAAGTACACAATCGAGAACAAATATCCGAGATGTTACTTGAGCCTGGAATATGATGCACCGTGAAGTCATAAGGTTGAAGACGCAAGGCCCAACCTTCAGCTCTGGTACAGGCACGCTTTCCATTTTGGTGTTTTCCTCCGTAGATGTACTCTAAAGTCTTATGGTCCGTGAATACTGTAAATCTACTTCCAAAAAGATATGGGTAGAATTTTTCGACGGCCCATACAACCGCCAGTGCCTCCCGCTGAGTTTGTGGATACACTCTTTCTGCTTTTGTCAAGCCCTTGGAAGCAAAACTTATAATTCGTGACTTGTTCGATTTGTCCTTTTGAGTTAGAACTGCGCCCAGACCAACGAGTGATGCATCTACAACCAGTTCCGTATTATCTCGGGGATCAAAAAATCCCAGCTTACGAACAGTACTTGCAAGCATATTTCGTAAATCGTCAAAAGCCACCTGCTGGGCATCGCCGAAATTCTCTACGTCTCCCCTAATAAACTGACGAAGCGGCTCAGTCCTCGTAGATAGATCCGGAATGAATTGCCCAACGAAATTGACGAGTCCAAGGAAGCTACGAACTTCTTCCTTCGTCTCTGGTCGTCGGAAATTCTGAATTGCAGAGATCTTGTTTTCAGAAGGGCTGATCCCGGCTGCGCTGACCTCATAGCCCAGGATTTTAAGTTTCGTTGCACCAAACACACACTTCTCCTTGTTCAGCGTCGCGTTATTTGCCTTTAGAACTGCCAATACCTCCTTTAGCCGAGCATCATGTTCTTCACGTGTTTTCCAGAAACGACTATATCGTCAATGTATACTATTATTCCCTCGATCCCAGCCAGCATTTCGGACATCACCCGCTGAAAAATTTCCGGCGCACAGTTGATGCCGAACATCAACCTTTTAAATCTCATGAGACCCCTACTGGTCATGAAAGTGGTTATTCCACGGGAATCAGGGTGAAGCTCAATGTGGTGAAATGCAGATGTTATATCCAGTTTAGAAAATAATTTCGAGCCCCTTAGCTTGTTCAGTAAAGTGTCGATCATGGGAAGCGGATAATGTTCGCGCTGGATAGCTTGATTAGGGTATTTCATATTTATGCACAAGCGGATATCGCTCTTCCCTTTTGGAACCACAACCATTGGAGATATCCACTCCGGCGGTCCTACGGCCGGTTCAATGACATCGCTATGCAACATCTGCATAATTTTGTTGTCCACCTTCTCTTCCATCGCAGCTGGGATTCTTAAGTATGCTACTTTCCGTGGAGGAATGTCTGGATCGATCGAGAACTTAATTTGAATATTCGAGAATTTCGGAAAAACATCATCCGTAACTTCGACATTTGCAACATCAAGGCCAACTTTTAATACTTTGAGTTCTTCCGCAGTCCTCTTGCAAAGCAAAGACTTTTTGGCTCCCTTAATGACAAAAAACTCGGCGTAGGTTTGTGGTTTGAAATCATTAATTGAAATCCAAGCTTCGAATATTAGCTCAACCTGCAAAGGTTCCTGACTGGCGTATGCAGTGAACTGTCGATCACAGTTATACCTCTTCTTGTATATCTTTGCCTTGTTCTCTACAAGTGCCTTCCAATCTTCTTCCGTGATTGTGTTGATGGCGGCACCAGAGTCTATTAAGAATGCCACTGGAAGCTCATCAATCTTGCAGGTTATTTTTCCGTCATTCGTTGTACTTCCCTAGTTTTAATAAAGAAATCAAATATAAACATCATTTCAGTTTTATTTTTATTTTCCGTTTAATTTAAGTTATTAGTAATCCACACTAATCAGGAAAAAAAATATGCGGTGAGTGATTCTACAAGCCCTCAACATATGCTTACAAAAAAAAAATCAAAACTTATCGAATTCAACTTGAACTGAAATATAATTGTAAATCAAAAAGAAGGAAGATATAAATTATTCTACCTTCAACACCGGGCTGGGACGTCGAGATGGTCCTTCCTCAGGGTCCTCCCGGTAGCGGTAGCCAAAACGACGACGTTCGTCCTCTCGCACCGAGTTGGCTTCACCAAATGAACGCTTCCAGTTCCTGGCATTTCCGTGTCTTGATCTGCACTTTCTTGCATAATGACCGGTACGCCCACAGTTGTTGCACCGGGCGTTTCGGGCAGAACATTCCCGAGAATCCTTTCGATGCTTCCATGATCCACAATTTTCACACTCCATACGGCTGCTCTGTTCCCGTCGTCTCTCACGCAATCCCAAATTTGTCGGTCTAGGCTCCCTGTTCCATTCCTGCTTGACCGCAGCCACAGTACCATAATCTACTTCAGCCTTGAAAGGAAGTGCCTTTTCTTTCTGCTTCAATAACATCTCT